TTTTCACAGCAGTAGTCTTTCCAGCCTTCACCAGTACCCATACCACGGTTGCCAGGGACAAGGCAAGATGCAGAAGCCTTGTTAGTAGAAGCAGCTTGGACGCTGGCAAGAGAAGCAGCTAGGAGTAAGATAGAAAAGGAGAGTCTCATTGTTAAAGAAAAAGAGCGACGTGTTGTTGTATCTCAATTGCAAAGGATGAGGCCACCCTTTTTATATGAAAACTCCTGGACGGCTACGGTTCGCCCAAGAAAATAAACATATTCAGACACAGATATTTTTAGTAGCATGTTAATCCAAATTGTAGAAAATAGGATACCTTTACTATTTACAGTTCTGACTCCACTAAGAATTGTGGTACGGAGATAAATTACGCATTGTTACGTTATTTTCTAGAAGAATAGAAGAATAGCATAGCTTTCTTCTTTTTCTTAAGCCTATTTACTTTGATATACAACCAATGCAACTTGTAGGTTGAAAAGATTCAGTTAGTCTTTCTTTATTATGACTCAATGGATTGCAATAAGCCTTAAGCTTAGAATTGCTGCACGTTCTTTTGTACGACCTGTTCCCATTTTTAAAATTTCACAGAATCCAGGAACTTTCATACTTTCCTTTTTTTAAACATTCTGTTCTATTTCTTGACTTTTGCGTGTGCGAAATAGGTTCATTTTGGATCTGTGATGCATTTAATTAAGAAGAAAATTTCACCACACAATAAGCAAGAGTATCTCATTGGTCACTGAATAAAAGAAAGAGCAGAATTCAGGTATGGACGAACGTGGGTTCTATAAAGAGGCTCGAATGTTTATTTAGATAGTAGTCACGCATTGAATTCAGTCAGCAGTTCCATCGTTTTCATCCCAATGCTTGACTATTTCGTGATCAGTAAGGTAGGATCCAGGAACGGGCCTTTATATGCCCTGCAACAGTATTATTTTATTACTGCAAAAGTTGAATACACTATCTGATATTCTCGGTTCTATCTGCTTTATATGCTAGCTGTTGGATATTAAAATTATTTTTAACAATGAATACAGTTATCTACTATTTCTTGGTGAATAGCCAATAATAGTAACTTTCTCCAGGTTCAGATTCAGTAACCCTATGGTGATTCACCCTGTCAATAGCTTCTTCAAATCAAGCTTCTTTAAATATTATCTCATTTGTCTATATATAATCTGTCGGTAGTCTTCATTATCCATCATAATAGTATGATTTTATATGGAATTACTATTAATAGCTTGAGCGACAATGATGCAAGTAATAATCACCTTACGGTAGTAAATCAAAAACTAAATAAGGAACCCGTTACTAAAGAAAGACTGATGCCATACTACAGAGCGATACAAAGTCAAGTGGTTTGAAGGATTGCTTCAGTACATGATATGGGTTAAAACGTTATGAAAATAGCCGTTTTCTGCAGCCAGTCTCGTCACGGGATAACCTTCATTGAGTTGGGTAATTCTAATCGCTCAATTGTACAAAAGCTGATTCATTATTCGCTACGTATTTATTATAACCATCTCATCGATGAAGTAAAGATGTTGCATCAAGCTTTATATATGAAGAAAGTCGAAGGAAGGAGAGGGAGAGCAAAAAAAAAAAAAAAAAAAGATCTTTAGATGAATGCTACACTGTATCACTGACATGCTTTCTATTCCTTGGGCTAATAATGTGTAAGGTGCCAATCTTTCCTTTCTAAATCGACTCAGCTGAAATAAGATTTGTACTTGCTTTTATCTGTCTCGGCTATTCGGAGGCATGGAGCCCAAATGTATCAAATACAATTGTTACATCAAGAGAAAACCAACACCAGGCAATGAGGAGTTCAGTGATGTCCTTCTAAAGGACGAAACAAATTTATTTATACTTTTTTACGAAGGTCGTGAACGTATTAGTGTCTTTTCAATTCTAATCGTAGTGTTTTAACAGTAGTATCTTGATTAAAGAAAGAGATAGATTATAAGTAAAACATCATTGGGGGCTCAAGAATGTATTTACAGCAACAAGACATACAATAATGCTTTAGAAATACATGGTACATTGCATCTTAAGTACGGCATCTTTTTGCAGCGCCTGTACATTCTTTTAACAGACAATGCCATTGATTGTCATAAAATGCTGCACCCTCAAACAAAGTTAAGGCGTTAAAGTAAACATTCCTATTAACAGGTCTTTAGTGTAAACAAACAAATCTTTTTAAAGCTACAAACGTATTGACACGGATGGTTTTCGAGAAATAAACAGTTATGCATGAATGATTATTATAAGCAACCCTTCTTTTTCTTAAATAAAGAAAAAGATAAACAAACAAGACCAGGTACGGGGGATCAAAATAGTACCACAAACATTTAGATGTGTCTCAGCTTTTTCTGCACGTTTTATGAACATTCAGGGAAAAAAATAACTGAACAAGGGATTTACCATGCTAAATCAGCTTTACAGGGCATCGTATCATTTAATAAATCATATCAATGTCCATAATCAGTAAGAGAGGAGAATAATGTGTATCTTAAGGTTGCCCTGTGCGCATGATATAGTTCAAATACCGCAAGTAACTGTTTCATGAACTACATAACAAAAGAGAAAACAAGCTTTAAAAAATAGCAACTTTATTGAAATAAACATGTTTATATGTGTGTGCGTTTGCGTGTGCGCGCGCTTGTGTGTGTGGGGGAAGAGGGGGAATATAAAATGACAATTATATATATATAATATCATATGCCTAAAAGGAAGAAAGAAAGAAAGAAAAAAAGAAGGAAAGCTCCATAATTACATCCATGGCTCGTATCCGTCGTTTTTTATGGTAGATGATGGCTTATTGCAAGTAGGTTGAGGAGTAGAGCAGCCATCAGTCGGCTCCTTTTTTATTGGACTCGAAGGGTGCTGTTGATGCCTTTGCTGCACTACTGTGTTTGAATAGATGTATTGTGTGTTACTATTATTTGAATCATAAAATGGCCCGCTAGAAGAAGGTGTTGGTGGTGCCGTCGCGTTACTTTTAGGCAAACTGGATGCGGATTGAATTCTATGGATATGATGAGGATGAGAAGAATATGGACTGTCCACCGGCTGAGGAGTGGTATACATTTCATAATTAGTCAAGTATGGGCTTCTGGTGAAATCTACACTGTGTCTGTGATGATGATGATGATGGTGGTGGTGACCAAAGTGTCGATTATCGTAACCAACGGCAAAGGCACTGAAAGGAGCTGGATAGAATGGCATATTCGTTGCTGGACTACTACTGCTGCTGTTGCTACCCGCGGAGATAGCCAATTTTGTACTCATGTTAGAATCAAGCGATAGTGAGCGTGTATCACGATTAAAACGCTGATGGTAGTGATCGTCAGGTAGATGGTAAGGAGGCGCCTTGGCGGGGTCACTACCGGAACGACTACCACGGTTACGCATGGTTATTTTAGTTCTTGAATCTGATTCTGCAACCGCACGGTAATCCACTTGCCAATATGAGCCCTTGCCAGGTTCGTTAATCGGACGCGGAACACGGACAAAGCTTTTATTTAAAGATAAATTGTGACGAATAGAATTCTAGAAATAATCGTCAGAGAAATTGAAATAAAGAAAAAGCTTAGTTACCTTCCAGCCTGTGCCAGCTGAGCTGTAATAAGGGTAGTGGTCGATTACCCATTGGTAAATTTCGCTTAGGGTCAATTTCTTTTTTTCACTGTTTTCGATGGCGTATTTTATCAAGGTAGCATAAGAATAAGGAGGCTTTCCTTCGGTGTTTTTTTCAACATGTATTTCTTTGGTAGATGGAACTCCACGCTTTCTTGATCGGCTGCTGCTACTTCGTTCAGTAGAAGCAGAAGGAGAAGGTGTTGGTTGGCCGTATTGAGAATGATCTTCATCAAAGCTGTTATTTTCTTTCCAATTGGCATTAGGGTACATTTTGTTAGCATGATGTGCTATATTATCCATTCCAGGTGAGTTATTCATTTGCTGAATTGGAGGTAACTGATGAAGGCTTGCTTTATTTACTTGTGGGTTATTGCTATTGCTGTTATCACGGTCAAGCCAGTTGATAGAAGAGTAATAAACGTTGTTGTTATGAAGTTCAGTCATGAAGGGAAAGGCGTGTATCGTGTTGACAACAAAAGAGAAAAAATAACGAAATAAAAGAGCAGTTTATTTGTTTTCCTTTTTCCTTTTTGCTGATCGTTTATAAAAAGAAAAAGAGAAAGAAAGAAGTAAAAATAAACCTTGGCTTCAAACAATCAAATATAGGATAGCTAAGGACTATCATGTGGCTCTATTGTGTTGAAAATAAATGTTTGCGAATAAACACAAAGCGACTTTCACTATTATTTTTAATAATGCTTTATTTATTACACTTGATTTTTATCTTTAACTTTCTTCTTTTTCTTTTATTCCCTCCTCTTTATAGTTGAAGGTGATATATGATATTTGGTTTTTGTTGTTGTTGTTGTTGTTACCGAACGGAGCGATTGTTCCGGTAACTACTCTTTTGGTAAACCGCACCAGCAAGTTTCTCCATGCTCTCTATTATGTAAAAATAAAATGGTAAGCATGAGTATTCTATTATCATTATCTTTTTTTTTTTTTTTTTTTTTTTTTTTCAAAAAAAAAAAGTAATGCAGATCGAAGTAAATAAGAAGTATTATCATATGATTTGCCATTATTTTGTTACAAGTTTTAGTATTAAA